CCTACAAAACCTGCCAAGAATGGTCAGCATAAGCTGCACCTTGTTGTTCGAGAAGGTTCACAATTATTGTAGATTGTTGTGTTAAGATTGCACATAAGGTACCAACACTCTAGATTATTCGAGAGCTTGCGTGTCGATCAATGATGAGGATGAAATATTCGATGGCACATGTATAAATGCCGACGTGCTTCACCGCTTGTTAGTTGATCGACAGCCGACGTTCTATTCAACACTATCAGTGCCAGTGTGTACCGCTGTAAGAGACGTTCCGTTTAACAGCCACAAGTTACGTACTACAAACAAATTGATGTTGGACCTACAATCCTCTCTCTTCGTCCCCATCACGACCCAATGAGAATATGATGTTTAGACCATGTGCACAGAAGAATGAAAAATGAGTCTCGTATTTTTTCGTATGCTTGTTGTAATCATTTTCGCAGACTCTCCCCGTGTGAGCCTATAAATACATATAAATTGTTACTTTTTTGAGACAGCGGCACCATCCTTGACGAGGATTACAGCAGCGTCAAGATGAACCAAAACCACCAAGTTATTTTAGAAACGATGACCGAACATCGTGAATTATTTCCCTTGAAACAATGTCAAAGTAAGTGAAATAATAATTTAATCATAAGTTTGTTTGAAAATATCAGAAACGCTTATAGAAGAGGGATTTTTCATAAAGCAAGGTAGTGGCCGTATAGTTCTTAAAATGAAACTTAACAGCGAAAATAAACAATACCTTATGGAGAACGCAAGGAAACCATACCAAGCATTTCTTTCGAGTTGTCTACTTTCTGTCTCAGCCTTACTTTCCTCACTGTTTAATCAAACTGCTCTAGTCTTTTATTCTTTTTCTCATATATTTCACAACATTCTTGCAGTATTATGTACATTCTTGTTTTAGTTGATCCTTAACAAGGCAAGAACAACAAATGTAGGGAAAAAAACTGACCCGCTGTTCATGTTACAGGTTCTGGAGTGAACAGGCTATAAACGGTAAGCAGAAGAACACATGAAGCGAACACAGGTGGAATTTTCGAGAACAAATGATCACACTGAAAAAAAAAAGAATTTTTTCTAGTAACCGGATCGAGGCTAGTGTCTGAGATAGCTGCATCCAAACGATATGATGACGTGATGTGCGCTATAAGAACCACGAAAATAGCGTGCTGCTCTAAATGACGACAAACGCGCCCTTCAGCAACGCTTCTTTCAAAAAGACGAGACAAGCCAAGCTCTCTAATGAGAATGCGCGTGCTTACAGCAGGGCTCCTTGTAGTGTCATTTTTAGGCACTTAGTTGTTTAGCGTGCTTTTCTAGGCATCTCCAAAATCTAACATTTTGCAAAACTTGCCACATTGACTAGCTCTGATTCACCCACAACGCCATAACAGCTTCCTGAATCTTTCTACAATACCCTCAAAGCTGTATCGAAACAACACGTCGAATATTATAGCATATTTCACGGGAACTGAGCACGTGCATCCCAAGGCAAGCCCTGAATTTGCTAATTCGAAATGGTCAGCATGTGTACATGAAATAAAATTATTCTTCCACTCTCTTGGTTGCGTTTTGCACCGCCACCGTCGACGCATGAAATTTCATCACCAGATGCTCACAAGATTGCCTTGCTAGTGCTTGACGGACTGTATACGTGATGCGAAAACGTAAGCTGCACGTGGACGCCAGGCCAATTCATCTCGTGAATCTTTATTGATATGTGGGGTTTAACGTCCCAAAGCCACCATATGATTATGAGAGACGCCGTAGTGGAGGGCTCCAGAAATTTTGACCACCTGGGGTTCTTTAACGTGCGCCCAAATCTGAGCACACGGGCCTACAACATTTCCGCCTCCATCGGAAATGCAGCCACCACAGCCGGGAATCGAAATCTCGTGACTCTTGTGTCAGCACATATGTGATGTTCATATTGCATATTAAACAGTTCTTCCTTCGTCTAGTGAGCTGCAAATGCACTTGTATTTGTTGCTCTATTATTATTTTTAGTGAAAATTGACAATGTTGAGTTTTCATGGTTATTTTTGACAGTTCGCAATAATTTTACAAAGACAAATACAAGACATATACCTTGCAGGCCTTTATATAGCATTTCGCGCAAGTGAACATTGGATTAAATGTTTTTCATCGCAAGTAAGAGTTTGCGTACGCTGCGCAGATTATACCACCAGCACTAACGGCATCAACAACCACAACAACGAGCTCCTCAGGAAGTGTTGCGCCTATTGCGCAGGGGCATCAGTTACTGCGCGAGCACCCACATTGTGCTACGTGCATCTAGCGACATGCTATGGAGTAACTGGTACTGCTATCCAAGTCGAATCACTGACATATTGATGACTGGACCCTCCGTATAACGCCAGTTCACTAAGCCACCAGTAGTGACGTCATCCCCACTACCATCCTTAGGGAGAACCTGACTGGTGGATTCGACTTGCGGAATTCCGTAGGCCCTGTTGTGTAGGCCATAACATGGCCGAAGGCAGATATCATTAAGCATAGGACTTTGGGGGGTTCCAATATTGCAATAGCCAGCTCTTTGTGAAAATAATCGTTGGCTTTCCAAATACCGGTAGCATGAGTAATTCATTTACAAGCTTCCGAATTGTCCGCATATGTAATAAGGTGTCGATGTCTGGGATCTTCCTAGCTGTGAATGCATGTTGCTTTCATGCTTTATTTGTTACGCTCTCGCCCATTCTCCGGCTTTCCTACCCGTCTACCCGTTGCTTTTCTTCAGGCAGGTTCTAAGCAAACATATATTTTGTTTTTTTTTTTACAGATGAGGATGCGTTTGCTATTTGATAATAGTTGTTGGTTTCTCTCTCACATGACCATTTTCTCGACTTGGGAATTTTAAACGCTCGAACACACCTAGCTTAGTGCTCCAAAACCTGGAATAGTTTCTGTATCTTCGCTCAGAAAGCTTGTTTTGCATAGTATTACAGTGTTTGTTGACACACCATTCAAGAACAAGGTGGGTTTGGCCGCATTTATGTTCCCACGTGACTTTTGAATCTTTTCAACTTCGAAAGAGATTGCATTGTCACAATTTCACTCCTGACCGAACATTATGAATGAATTCGAGCGCAGAACAAAGTCTGCAGACGGAGCAACAACTTTGTCAATGACATTGGTATAAGTGGTTTTATTTCTCTCCCGAGTGATTGTGGGTCCCTGCCAAACTAAATAAGCAGAATTCATATGTGCTGTGTATCTGTACTCTGCAAACACCCTCAAAAGCCCTCATAAGCTGCAGTGTGTTGACGTTAACAACAATTTTCTGCTGGCGTTTACGAATTCATAGGCAACTGTTTTGTAGTGCGATAGAAGTTTACAGCATAGACGTCACAGAATCTAACGTATAAATGAACGGTTCCCATGCTGGTCTCACAACGGTAACGCCACAGGTGCACACATAAGCAGCAAAATTGTAAACCACACAATAAAGACAGGACGGAAGCTGGAACGAAGACGTACGCAGGTGTTTCTGTGTTTGTCCTGTGTTCTTTGAGAAGTATAAACTTTTGCTGAATTATGAACCGGTGAGCACGACAACATTCCTTGCTTCACTACAAGAGCAGGCGAGGTCAATTGAATGAGTATAGTGTTGGCTATGGGTTATTGCTATGCACTAGCAGGATTCACGACGTACTGTTCCTCTGATATCCCATTATGATTTGATGACGCTTCAACTGCATGCATATCACAGCTTGAAATCAACACTAATGTTTCTTCGAATGGGACGAGGTGACGGCAGGCACTGCTCTGGAAACAGGATGAAGTAATACAATGGTATTCGTCTTATCTGAAGAGTCATTTCATTTCTTTCTAGTCGTGTACCAACCAGTTCAGTCCGGCACGCAACTGCACGCTTAGCGGCTGTGAAGAAATGTGCAAAACCCGCAGTTCAGCTCATGAAAATATCATCACTCTTTCTGAGTAACACTGACGGGTATTCACACACCGTTTATTATTTATCTATGAAACAGATGGACAAAAAAGAGTCATGTAGGTGTAGTTAATCGTATGTTGGTTGCACTGCTGACATGTCGAAAAAATACAGTTGTATTGCATGCATACACCTATACACTCACTGAGAAGGCCTGTGCAAATGCACCGGACCACCACACTGGCCTCGGTTTTCGAATGTTACAGTCGCTTTGCGACGAAGACGAAATGTTTGGGTAATATGGGACAAGTTTACGCTAGCAAAGTGAAGCGTTAGAAACAGGGAAACGGGTTGATATTAGAGACTCGACGTGTCCTTCTTGTCTTATGCTAGGTTTCTCTCGGCGTAGAAATAGTAGAGCCGAATCGCAGCCGGTAACAATCCATTCAAAAACACCCAAACTATAGCGCCAGAGCTAACGTGCAAAGCTGGATGTAGCACCCCTGGTCCATGTGTGGGCCTTTCGTTTCTTATATTCGGCTCGCGCGGTGGGCAAACTTGGTCCGGTGGTTTCGCGGACTGTCTCTGTCATTTGACGCAGCTCATATGCAACGGCACGTGATAAGCGACGGTGCGAATTGGTTTTTGCGGACACCCGCTGTTTTACCACGAGCTCTTGGAGGTTAGCTCTTGAAGAGGAATAAAGAAGGGTCCTGTCAAGTGTTTTTGTAACGAAAACAGAAAGGGCGGTAGATTGTGACGGGAGCACGAAGAGATAGTCGAAAAAGAATAATGTGAGTGCTCGATATTGACGCTCGTGGCACGAGGCGCATTTCTGTGTTCAGCTGCTGGCTAGAGGGGTCGCAAGACACCTTGTGCTCTAAACGTGCAAACTATATAGTTGCTAGTTTCTTTTCCATTTGCACTGAGCATCTCTTCAGATTGCGTCAACGAGTGCCTTCATGTAATATGTACGCTATACCATTAAGGGCACGTGCACAAGAAGTGTCTTTCAGGCGCAAAGAAACAGAAAATAATCGAAGGACATTACGCACCGTTTCTTTCAACGGCTGTGTCGTATACCTACTCCTTATGGCCCAAGCTTTCTGTTGACGAAGAGCCACGAAGGTCTTGAGCATGCTTGTCGAGCAGCTGGTTGACACCTCGGGTCTCGTCACGATGTCCATAACGAGCGGGAGCAGTTTTTCCGCCGCCACCTTAAGTACGTCGCTAAGATCGTCCTCGTAGTTGCGCGTGGCTGACTCGACGTCCTGCGCCCAGACTGGCACTGAGAGCAACGATAGAGCACGCGTGAGCACGGCCAGCGTTGACAACCACGCCGCGCACGGCTTACGACCCATAGTCACCGGGGCGCGTGAGAGGCGCCGAGAAGATTCTCCGGTGAAAAGGACTCGACGCGAGTCCTTTGAGAGCTGCGATGACGCCCCGAGAAGGGGAGGTAGTGTCGGGCCCGGCAGCTGTGGCTGGTAACGCGACACGCCGCAAACAACCCTCCAGCCCGCCGTGTGCCCCCGGCTTGTCTGCGAAGATGCGTGTGCGAAGTTTTCACGTAGTTTTTCCGCCCATTCAGCGTGAAAGGGTATACAATGGACACGAAATAAATGGCGCCACATTCTCGTTTCCGGCGATTTCTTTCAAGTCCACGGCAAGTTTCCGACCGAGAAGTAGTAGTCAATTATATGCCTCTGATTTTTCAGCGGTTTTATCCTAGCCCGACAATACGGTCCAGTACGTCATCCCGACCACTCTGTTGGTCACGTTCCAAACGACAAGCTTCGTTCCCAGTGCTGCACGCAATCGAGGACTTAGTACAACTTTTTTGCTCGAGGAAATCGAGTGTACCGTCGTCACTGTGCACATTGAATTTTATTACGTGTGATGTTCGCTCAGCTACTCAATGCGTGTCGAACTGTGAGATGACTACACCGAAACGTGCGAACGCATAATTTCAATGTTTCACTAAGAGCACGCCTGCCGCTTTTGCCGTCTTAATTTGTCTTATCAAAAACAATGAACCCTCCTTCGTAGTTGATTTCATCATCTTTGCATTGCGTATAAGTATTCTTTTGACATCGGCGCGCAACGAAAGTGATGTAGCTTGAGGATTAAATGTTTGGAGTTGTGTCGTATCATTCACATCATTTTCCCTCCGCGATGCTGTCGCGAAATGCTACTATAATATTTCACTTCAATTTTCTTTTTATTTTTGCGAAAATGATGCTAATGAGCACCGGTAAATAAAAGTGAAGGGCGATCGTAGGAAGTTGTTCAGTAGCTGACGTGCTTTTTAGTGTGCAACACAGGGCGCGCGTGGTTCATGCACAATCAGTTCAGTTTACAATAATGCTCTTACCAAAAAGAACTAAGAACAGAAAAAGGAATCCCGACTACATACTACTGCTCTTTTTTTTTTGGGGGGGGGGGGGGTAGGGGCTTTTTGGTATTATAAAGTTAGAGTGATGCTTAGGGCTGCTTTAGAATTAGTGAAATAACTTTCCAGGGAAGTATTCAACCCATACAAGAATCCTGTATTCAAACAAGCAAGAGCAAGTGAAAGATGGAGGCTTGAAGCGATGAGAAGTGATTGAACAACTGAAGAATGTAACTGGAGCAAACGCTTCTCAAAGTACACTTGACTACATCAGAGAACTTGACTACATCAGAGAACTCTGATGCCTTGATTGCAGCATACCTTATTGGATGGAACATATGAACCCGACTTGCCGTAGAGCATCATGCATTATGAATGATGATGAATGAGCGAGCGAGGATAATGGTAGTTGTGCCTTTGTTCTGATTGCCATATTCTCGGGATGATTGCAGCTTTCCAAGATCTGAAACAGAGGAAAGATGCCAGCATATTGAGCAGTGATGGTAGGTACAGAGTAATGAAACATTGTTGGTGTGCAGTTACACTGAGTTAATATTTTTTATTTGATAAGTTCGCTTTAAGGCACTCATGATGTGTATGTAGTTACGTTGTGCAGACTCTTTTTTTAATGGTCCGGGTAAAAAAAAATCACATACTATGTCAAGGTTTATGGCGAAACAAGCTTCTGTAGACCGCTCTCAAATAATCACGAAAGTATTGTTACATTAGCTAGGATGTCACCGTAGGAACATTTGCTGTATTCGACACTTGTTAGAGATAATGGGTCAGGGCCTTGGTAGCTGATATGTGTAGCTTTTTATCACATTAAGTGGTAACATATGCTTTTTGTGTCCTGTGCCACCGCTGCGAAAACACTGTACAATTGCAGCTGGATGTCAGTGCTGCCAAAGGCAGTGCCGTCTGCTTTCAGCTTTCATTACTCAAGGACATGTGAAAGAAGACCTCTGGAAAAATAAATGTCGCCTGAGCGTGGAAAAGACAGGCTGGGGGAAAGAAAGGGGAGGAGGAGTGTTGCCAGTGCATTCCTCAACAATTTGAACACACTTCAGCCTTCGTTTTTTGTGGTGTCCACATTACTATTCACAATGCAATATTTATTCTCACGCGCAACACTACAGCATTGCTCGCTGTATGATGCAGGCATAGCATCTACCATTTTCGTACAGTCGCCCCGATATTCGAACGATATAGTGCTGCTGTGTTCTAAAGCTATGACATTAGCATAGGCTGAATCACTGTTGCTGTTGCTCACAAATAGATGCCCGGTATTTATACAAGAAACTAAAGTAACGGGGCTTGACAACTGAAGTCTTCACCGGAAAGTGAAAGACGCCGTAGCAGGGGGCTCCAGTTTGATTTATACACCAACAGTTGTTCTTTACCCTGCACCCAAAGTGCACTAAGTGGGTTGTTTTGCATTCCGTCTCTGTGGTAATGCAGTAGTTTGGGGTCGGTAATCTTAGGCTCGATACAGTGATCAAAAACAGAACGCTATAGCTATACTAAACAACCACTGTGGCTCGTTATTTATAGCAGTTGCAGAGGAAGAATTGGTGTTCGAGACTTACTCGTACTGAGCAGTTAAGTCTATTGGCGACATTCTAAAGCATATTTAAAAGGAAGGCTTCACGTGCACATGTCAGAAAAATGGAGGGTGGTCTCTCTTTTACAGTAATCGCGTATGACACGACAATCAAATGCTAGAGGCATAGTTGCGACTTTTGTCGATGGGGAAAAATATAATATGCAGAGTATGCATTGCTCTCGGAAGGTCATGACACTCTGACATGGATGCAGCCTCGTTGTCGCCGCATCTTTCCTCATCCTGATGTCTGTCATTGACGACCATCGGTAACCGCTTGTGGCAGCTGAAACGGTTGATTTAGGGGCTGGACTCAGCGGGTGACGTCCGTGAGCCATACTAGCGAAGGTGATGGGGCTGTCAGCCCCGCCGTGGTGGTCTATTGATTAAGGTACTCGGCTGCTGGCCCGCAGGTCCCGGGATCGAATCCCGGCTGCGGCGGCTGCATTTCCGATGGAGGCGAAAATGTTGTAGGCCTGTGTGCTCAGATTTGGGTGCACGTTAAAGAACCCCAGGTGGTCGAAAATTCCGGAGCCCTCCACTACGGCGTCTCTCATAATCGTATGGTGGTTTTGGGACGTTAAACCCCACAAATAAATCAATCAAATGGGGCTGTCAGTGAAGTGTTTTACATCTACCGGTTGCCAGCATAAACATGCAAGAAATTTCGTACGAATAACCTGGTAGCTAGCCATGGGTGCATCCGAGATTTCCTTTTCACAGCACGAACCTACAAGAAATTTCGTACAGACTTTCTTGTCTCTGCAAACAGGTGAATATCGGATTTTCCTTTCACAGGCCTTTGTCTACCTTGCGGCATCCCGCATATCTGATTTGCAGCATGCGATAACGTGCGTACAGTCCTAATCACGCCTATCCGGAGTGGTCGAGTTGACGAGTTAGAGCTCTGGCGTTGTCTGCCATTGCTATAGTTCGCTCTAGCTGTGGGCTGCTATTCATGCTTGTATTACATGGCTGTCCCAACTGAGCGTGCGGTGTGACTCGCTGTGGTATTTCGCGGCATCGGTCTTTCATATATTAAAAAACGCAAATAAATCGACCGACTCGTTACTTTAGACAAATGTGATTTATACTGTGCACCCAAGTGGCAGGAACATAGTTAAGAGTGACAAGACATATAACTAGAATTGAAGACAAACAGCAGCAGTCTGTAAAAGCTGTAGCCAAAGCAAATGCAAAACAGGTCCTCAACTAAGGCTTCAATTTCGAAAAAATAGTTTGAGGCGATTAGTGCTTCCGTTAGTCATGGAAATGTGCAGGTAACATTCATTGTGGTATTGGGCGGATGAACCAGAGCATTCATAAGTTGGAGGAATAATAATGAGAGTGGTACGTGAAAATTATGAAAAAAGGCAGGCCTGATGTGCAGAGCCTGCCATGTTAAGGAGTAAAGATGCAACGGTGCTTCTTTTGGTTACAGCTTCTCGCCGATGCCCCCTTTTACGATGAACCAAAATCTGAAATCTCCAAACTCAAGACGTCAGTTAAAGTGCTTAAAAACGATTCATTCTATTTGTTCAGCTTATGTCTTCTGTGATGCAGCCTAATAGTTGCAATGGTGCAACTTAAAGGTCAGTAACGCGACAAAATATATTTGATAGAAGGGACTGGAAAAGGAATTAGAATACGTACACTCTTTATTTAATGTTTTGAGAACGTTCGCTTACGGTTATACTGGTGAGTTATAAGTACAACGTGAACACTCAGAAAAGCTTACTATGTATACAGTGCCACCCACTGTAAAAACTGTAGAAACAGCGTAGTTGGGTTCTCCTGTGGTTCCCTCGGAATTTTTTGTAACATTTTGTGCTTTCGTGTGGGCACCTGCGATTACATTGTTTGTAGAGTATAGATGCACGTAAAAGGATGTGTGATAGCCCGTGCCCTACCCTACCCTGCTACAGTGTCCTTCGTCCCGGCGTGGACGCTTGAGATGCCCTTCCCAGTTTCACTGTGCGGCTACCGCGTCGTCCACGGCCCGGAGCTACTGTATATGCTACCATTAGGTAGCAGACATGCGCATAGGTCCACCATCTTGCCCGTTAAGACGTCACCGTTATGAAGGAAAGCCACCTCTTCCCAATGTAGGAAGCTGCGCGGCTCAGTGCATGGTTCTGTGCTTTTTCTCGCTCATTCATTACCGCTCCGCTGGCGGAAGGACTTTCGCTTTGAAAAAAAAAAGAAAATCTTGAGAAATAATACCTTTGAATACCTTCAGGTAGTACTGGTGCTATAGTTGTTCAATGGAGGTCACCATAGAAAGTAATACTACTCTTTTAAAAAAGCGAAAAGAAATTCTTCACCTAATTGATCGAGAATAATGCACACGATTTCCGACAAATTAAGCTCGGCAAATCGCTAATTTCACGTAGTTTTTAGCATAGCGTTTTAAGCGATTAAGCAGCTGGCTCGGTA